GCAAGTGCTGAATCAACGGTTTGCCGCAGTCGCCCGCAATATTAAGGCGATGTGGCGGCAAACCTGCACGCGTTTCATTATGGTCGATTGGGTTATTCTATTTTTAATCTTTTATGAATTCAAGTTTAATTATATTTGATATTTGCTGTTACAATTTCAGATTAGTTTGCCTAGTTTATGCTCTTTCAATTTCTTTTAACATTTAGATAAGCTGTATTTTACACTTCGTAATTCCTTCTGCTACAACTAAGTTTTATGTCGATGTTAAAAGACCCTCTGATAATTCTTTGTATGTAAGTCTTACTGTACTTTAGGTTCTATGAATCCATTTCTTCTTTAGGCCACATATATACAGTCCAATATCGTTTTTTTTTTTTTGTATTTATTTTTCTTTTCATATTTTCTAAATTCTTTATAAGGTTATTATTTTTTTTAGATATTTTATTTTTTTTTCTTTTTTCTTTTAATATTTTTTTTTTATTTCTTTTATTTTTTGTTCAATATTTCATGTGTCGATTGTATATTGTTTTCTCTTGCTTCTGAATATATTTTTATTTTTATTTGGTTTGTAATATTATTTGTTCTTTAGTTCACTGAAGCTGCGTTGAACTATCATTTTTTTAGAAGTGAATGCTTTAAGAATTCTCAAAGAATGTTTGAAAAAGAACCTTTTTTCTTTTTTAATTTTTTTTCTTATATTAATTAAATTATTTTCTTTCTTTGTTTCTTCTTATTTTAATTATCTTTATTCCTTTTAAATTATAATTATTTTTTTTTTTTTTTTTTTTTTTTTTTTTTTTTGTGTTTTGGGGTTGAGATGGTAGTGTTGTTGTGTGTTTTTTTTTTTTATTATTTATTTTTTCTCTTTTTATATGTTAATTTTCCTCAAATTTTATATTGGTATTTGCATTTTTTATAGTTTGTTTTGTTTTTTTGTTTGTTTTGGTTGTTTGTTGTGAGTGAGGAGAATTGACACAAGTCAGGATAGACTTTGTGCTGAGGTATGTGGCTGGCATCTCACATGAGAAAGGGCTACCATAGTGACAGCAAACTTCACATCTTACGATCAACCATAAATTATCAAGGCTAAGTGGGCAATTCTCGAAGAAGAAAAATGTGATGTGTGTGGCGATGTGAAGCCAAATTGATTTTGATTTATTTTCTCTAACAAAGTGAAATTTAACAGGATACTCCTCGAACCTCCTCTTGATGAAATCACTGGTATACAGCAGAGAAACGGAAAGATCAATGCATCCTCCTTGATAAGCCTCGGGACTTCATCCACAGATGGCTTACTGTTAGCATTAGGTTGTCCGGAAAGTTCTCAGCGTTTTGAGTGTTTCACTTTAAACGATCATAACTTTCTTAATACTCATCGGATTTAATCGAAATAAGCACCGTTCGAATCAGCACACTTTTGCCAATGTGACACCAGTCGATAAATCCCATCAAAAAAAAACTGGGTGGTCGAGAATCCACGAAATCCACGAAGGCTTTTTTGCCTGGTCCTGATTGATGAAGTATTTTCCAGCAAGGAAGTTCTGAAAATGTTTGAAAAGGTGATAGTCGGTTGGTGAAAGGTCTGGAGAATATGGCGGGTGAGGTAGAACTTCAACCCCAATTCGTTCAATTTATGGATAGTGATTTGTGAAACGTGTGGGCGGGCGTTGTCATGCAAAAGAATCGGACCCTTTCTGTTGACAAGTGCTGGCTGCAGCTACATTTCGTCGATTTCTTCACAGTAGGACTCTGCCGGTGAAAAAAGTTATAGTGGATCACACCAGCCGATGACCACCACACTGTGACCATAATCTTTTTTCGTGAGGATTCGGCTTTGGAAATTGCCTCGGTGGTTCGTCGGCATCCAACCACTGTCCGGAACGTCTCCTGTTATCATACATGATCCACTTTTCATCACAGGTGACAATTCGGTCCAAAAACGGGTCGTTTCTGTTGCGCAAAAGCAGTGAAGAAGAAACCTCGAGACGTGCCAATTTCTGCCGGTCACTCAAATTGTGGGCACCCACTTGTCGAGTTTTTTCACCTTCCCAATGCGTTTCAGACCATCCGCAACAGTGGATTTGCCAACGCCTAGCTTTTCTGCAATCTCTCGAACTGTTTGGGATGGGTCACCCTCCACAAATGCCTTCAAATCTTCGTCAGGTATTGCTTTAGGTCGACCGCTACGAGGTTCATCTTCAAGGCTGAAATCTCCAGAACGAAATTTGTCGAACCATTGTCGCACGGTGCTTTCTCCAACACTATTGGGCCCCCACACCTGGTTAATTTGTCGAGCTGTCTCGACTGCGGATTGACCCAATTTTAGTTGAAGAAAAATATCGTCCGAAGTTGCTCTTTTGACATGCTTCAAAGTCTTGGGAAAAGGGGTTTATCAATGGTGAAACGGCAATTATACCATCAGATAGCGCAAAAATTCTCTTCAGGATGTACTACTGAGACGCAAGGGAGAATGAATTTTAATCAGCAATGAATGTACAAAAAATAACACAAAACGCTAAGAACTTTTCGGACAACCTAATACGTAGAGATGTCGATGTACAGCGTGCCCAATAAACTGCTGTTGGGAGAACGGCTGAAAGTTATCCACTGAGAGCTAGTTATTAACAGCAACTTACTAACGGATACAGATCACAGCTTCAGCACGGGGTCATCCGCTATAGCCCAGGGATTATTTGGTGGTTTGTCATAAGCTTCAGAATATAGTTCTAAGAATCTTCGTGTAATGCAGAGCAGGTCTCAACGATAAGTGGATCAACCTCCTGCTTTTAGACAAATGCTGGTGGATAGTTGGTGGAGTCTGACGAAAATTTAACTTCACTTCTCCACTTCGTTTTGACTGAGCGCGAACATTCCAACATCTCTCGAGATTCTTGATTAGCCACGATAGTTCTTCCTCCATGTAGAGCCATACGTTGGATAAACCACCATGGTTGGCCTTGCTAAAAAGCTCAATCCAAAGGCAGCTGGTATGATAAATACCTAACAAGGGAACCCCAACAGGTCGATCGGCCATTTGCAATGAGATGTACAAATATGGACGTGTCTTGAGCCGCTGAATCCAAATCTGCCCTCGAATTTGCGGAACGATTCTCTGAAGGGAGTTACGGACCATTTAATCTCTGCTCTGCCGCACAAGTTGGGAACGATAAGTGCATGCGGCAAGCGGCCGGTGGCGTAGTGGAATAAGCGCACTGCTTCGGAGACGCGAGGTCGCACGTTGGATTCCTTGACTGTTGGAAATTTTTGCTTTTGTTAAAACACTTCATATGAGTCCCTAAAACACTTCTGTTTGGCCAATTTACCTAGTTCTAATTATTTGACAATGGAAGGCGGCCGATTCTCCATTTCTGGTTCCTTTTGAAAACTTTTATTATGAGGTATATTGTGGTATATTGCACCTGGTGGTATATTGAGTACTTTCACATATCATATTAGATGGGAGAGCAGATCGAATGGATTCATGATATATGAAGGAAATCCACGAGTCGACTATGAGGAGCGTCGACTGGTGGGAGGGCGGGGATCTTTTAGCAGCCACACAAGGTTCAATTCAATATAGCATAAGCTGCTTAGACGATGAGTTTTGCGTGGTGGAGCCAACAACTTATCAGCTTGAAAATGCTTTTCGGAAGGGTAAAATCAAATAATTAAAGAACTGAGGTAAATTGGCCAAACAGAAGTGTTTTAGAGACTCATATGAAGTGTTTTGAACAAAAGCAAAAATTCCAACAGTCAAGGGATCCAACATGCGACCTCGCGTCTCCGAAGCAGTGCGCTTATTCACTACGCCACCGGCCGCTTGCGGTATGCACTTATCGTTCCCAACTTGTGCGGACAGAGCAGAGATTAAATGGTCCGTAACTCCCTTCAGAGAATCGTTCCGCAAATTCCGAGGGCAGATTTGGATTCAGCGGCTCAAGACACGTCGTGTACATCTCATTGCAAATGGCCGGATCGACCTGTTGGGCTTCCCTTGTAGGACGAGTCAGATTAATATCCCTAGCAGGACAGAATTCGGATCCCTGAGCAGCGATTTCCCGAGAAGGTACCTCTCATAGCGCCTTATCAAGCTGCAGTATACCGACCGGGACGCTCGTATCGCTTCATTTGCGATGTACAATATGAAGCGAGGTGACTGACATGAAGCGGCTGCGGTGCTGTGGGTATATGAGTAAATATATGCAGTCGTTTTCACCGTAGCTGCGAGCTGTACTAGCGCGATGCCGAAGGCAAACTCGTCTGAAATCGCTTCTTGAGTCGTGTAAACCAGAGGGGTTTTTGCAGGCTTTTTGGCCGTTTCAGTTAGTTTTTTCGCTATTCAGAAACACACCGGCTATCGAGTTACCGTGCTGAATGCCTCCGGTGCCCCTTCATCGCCTGAGGAAACCACCTTCCTACTGTTGATTCCATGCGTGCTGTGAGATTGGCGGCCCTGCGGATCTATGGTCCTTTATCGGATCTTGTTTGCTTTGGTAAGGCTCTATTACAAACCTATAGGTTTCCCGTCCCGTCTACGATATCATCTTCTGGAATTGGCTTCCTAAATTTTATCGGATCTTGTCAGCTGTGATAATGTTCTGTCACCCATCAATAAGTGTCCCATACCCTACACATCTTGAAACAAACGTCGCACCGTTGCTGCGACCGGCGCTATGAATTTGGTTACCCCTCCTTTCTGAAGCCTCTTATCAAGTATTATCAACTGTTATCACTTCCTGTTAGCAAGTAATGTTCCTGTTGCACCCACTATATCGCTGTCCAATTTGTAGTTTCTATGGCCCACCAATAAGGTCAACCAGTGGGCTGATTATCGCTGCTTCTTCACTTCGATAGCTCTCTTTATCAGTCCCTATCGCGCTATAAAAGCCCATTTTGCCCAAAAGGCTTTTCATTTCTGCATTTTCGCCTGTTAGGCTGCTTGGTGTACCTCTAATAAGAGAACATCTAGCTCTCCCGCTGAAGTAGATCTCAGGGTCCAGATGGTGGAAGAAGAAGTCAAGTTGGATGCGGCTACGGGTCATGGCACCAAGAAAGGAAGTGGTGACCCAAGAATGTGAGTTATGATGTAGACAGCTAGATATGCATGGTAACGTCGCCCTGTTTTCAGAGCTCGATTCACAGCCTCAGTGCTATTGGTAGTAAGCATGGGCTTATTGCAGCTGATTGGCCAGCGAATGGCAATTGGAGGGCCAGTACTGATCGCTCAGTTGCTCTTCGTCCTCTTCTGCGCCTTTACTCATGAGGTAATAATCCAATCTTCCGTTTCTCAAGCCTAGCGTAGGGTTGCAATCAGAAGAACCACTCGCGAGACGCACAGAAACTAGGCAGGGCATATGCTAGCTAAGTGACACGACATACTGTAGCGCGTCCCCTCATGTCCGTTGGGTCCTGGCGCTAATGTCACGCGCGACGTTACTAGTGACGCCACGTCGCCCACCCCACTTTTTGACCTTGACGGCTGGAAGTGAACTCATGGGCCATGCGTTGTTGAAGGGCGAACCACGATTAACAGAATCCGGGCGGCGTGACACACGTGGTTTGTCATGTATTTGTTGTATTTGTCATGTTGTTATATGTTGTAATGTTTCAAAGTAGGTTTTCGGTTACGGAAGATAAAACTTTATGAGCAGTTGAGTATATTCGGAGGTAATTACTGACGAGATCGATGAAAAATGGTGAAAAGGTCAGGAGATGCGCGCAGTGCGGTGGGTCTGCAATGTGTTAAAGAGGCTAGCTGTAGTTACCCGCTGTAGACAATAGGGTGCGTAAGCGGGATGAGTTCGGCTCGGTGCCATACCCCTCCCCACTCCTTATTGAAGCAAGACTTTCCCATATCGTTCGTATCAGTCGCTTTCTACCAACTGTGTGTCTGAACCACCTTTATCATTTCATTCTACCATGGGCAAGGAGTGGATCATTTGTATGCGCTCTAGCCCTTCCGTAGGGTGTGATTAGCTGCGGATGGTAGGGCGTGCACGCGCGGCTGCGTTTAGTTCATCGCCGGAACCATTCTTCATTGGTGGTTAAAGCGGATAGGTCACTCACTATAACTGCTGGAAAACTACGAACTACTAGCGAAGTGATATCGTCTTGCCTCCCGCCAAGAAAAAGTAAAAAAAAGAACGGGTTGGCGCCGGGCTGAAGCAGCTGTGCAGAGATGATTTATCGGCAGAGACGGCAGCGAATTTTTCCGCATCGTACCACTCTATTCTATCAACCAGAAACTTGGTGACTGTTTGTATACTGTAGCTGCGGACGGTTGGGCGTGTCAGTGCGGCTGCGTTTGGCGCGGTGCCAAACTCGTTCTCCACCAGTTGTTGAAGCGGGCAAGTGACAATACTGTATCATATGCTTCGTATTACTCGTTTTCTACCACTTTTTGTCGCATGCGCTCTTCAACAAGAAGGCAGAACGGCTCTGATAGGGTGACACACTCATACTGGCTGACACGCCCAACCGTCCGCAGAGAACTAGAGTGTATGTCTGTTTGTCGGTGTGTATGTCTGTCCATGTAAAATGCCTCCAGAGTGAGATAGGGAGAGTGATAGCAGAAATAGATACTAGCCGAAACCGAAACCGGTGGTGCTGCAGTATCACCTGCATTGATGTTCTGATTAGGATAGCGTCCCCCTCGCCTATAAAAGACACCCTTGCGGTAGGTTTGCAGTTATTGAACTACATGGTCCTTTCCAAGCAGGGCCGTGAGCAAGCACGAGCAGAAGGCTGCTAAGGTTCTTGCATGGAGTCTACTATCAAATTCGTCCACTGAGGGCTACCCTATGATGCACACGAGAGTGTGCGTTAGCCAACAACGGTGTTCATATAATGCTCACAGTCGTCAATGTTCTTATCCAGAGCGTTTTTGACTGTTTGATTTGTTTTTTCTTCACATAATCGCGGTTGCCAGGTGATCTAATGGATCTCAGTCCTGCCTGCAAATGGCCATCGCGGACGCTGCCATAGAAGGTTCTCTTTTACAGTGGCACCTTCTGCACGGCGAAGGACTGACAAGGCATCGTCGAGCATACTTTGACATCGTCAACGTGCTTGAAACCTACCAGACTCGTGCACGAACACATGGACATCTTTTCCAGGTTGGTGGAAATGACTAGCTCATCCGCATTCTGATACCAGGTGAGCAAGCATCAGGTAGAGAGAGAGGGACAAGACAATTAGGATCTGCCGCACCATAGTGCGCGGCGAGGCGCGGCGAATTCTCGGTTACCAATCTCAAGACTACAGAGGAACTAGTGTGAACTCGAACTGAGACATGACTCCATGCCCGAGGATATAGGCCTTTCTGTCTCTTTCACATCCGAGCTCGAACAGTCAGGGAAGAAAACTCGTCTTGCGGGTGGGGCGCCGCTCAAGCACGCCTACCAGCGCGATATATTGAGGTCGTCTTGTCATTTAGCCTCAGGGGACCTGAAACCATATCTGTCTTCTCCCTCGACAAGGAATGGGCCTCATCCCTGCTCTCTCTATGCATCAAAGCAACTGTTTCGCGGCCATGTGCCATAATCCATCGCCAGATGACAGCTCTAGGACACGGCGAAAACCCTGAGTGGGGTATTTATCGACGAGAGTGTATCTCTAGGGGGGAAAATAGGCTTGTGTTACTGTAAAAGCGGACTGCATTCAACTTCCTGCGTTTGGCCACGACTGCTGTTTCACTAGGCACGCATTGCGTGTGCGCCGCCGGTGAGCTTCTCTTCCTTACTACATGTAGGCCTACAGGCTTGCTCCAGTGTAATGCAAGTTCTTTGCAACACTGTAAGGTTCATTCTGAATCTAGTGCCTTCTAGCCCGATCCTCCAACGCCTTTGGTAACCTTTTTGCCAGATGGAACGGCTGTTGGTGGTGTTCATGAAGCGCCTGCTGAGAAGACGGATTTATGATGAAACGCGATGAGGTGTACCATTCTCAGGGCTTGTTCTTGATTTTTTTTTCGAATTACACCTGAAGATTACTATTCTAGCATTATGCCAATATGTTCCAATACGCAATGCAAATGAATAAAGAGTTGGATATGATGATGGGAAAGGTTAGCTCTCTGATTCTACAGTACTGTAATAGACCGATGGGCCGGTTCAGCACAGGTCCGTTGAAAATTGGGGGTAACTTTCACCTACCATGTCAATGATGGTATCATAACGTCTCGAGAGTGTACAAATGGACGTCACGAGGGGAGTACACCTCATAGCTGAGGAATTCCCTGCAGAGCAAGACCTCCCTCCCTCTGCTTACGACCGCCTTTCCCTTTCCACCTACAGACCTACAATCTTACCATCCTTGTGGCATTTCCCAACTTCTTAGACTTTTCCGAAAGTTTCCGGTTTTTTTCGCTGTCAAGCGGGGAAGGGAAGGCGGTCAGGTGAAACTGGAAGACTGGAAAGCCACGAAAAGTCAAGAACCTTTGGAGTTGCCTGCCTCGGGAATTTTTTCAGAGCCAACTCCTCCGCCCTCCTTCCTTCAGAGGCCAAATACGACCTCGCGCTGGGTTTTCACCATCGCACTTCCTGACCTGGCCTCAAAGAATGTTACTACGTTGCTAACTGTCAGTTACACGTCGGGGCCGCGAACTTGTGCCACATTATTGTGGGGTCGCTTATGTCGGGGTTCAAGTTACTGTATCTACGGTACTTATATACTTGAAATCCCCAGGCTGGAATATTCCACGAGTAACCAGTTCCGTGCCATGTTCAAATGCCACGCCTACTCTGGCTCAGGGATAAGGAGTGTACACGCAAAGGAAAGAGCGTGTGAGGGGGCGTGGATCGTGACGCAGCCAGAGCAGTCTTCACCCTTTGCCGCCTGGAGCTGACAACAAATAGTAGAAATTGCTGCCATGGCTGCGCTCCTATGAACGCCCCCTCATACGCTCTCTTGTTCGGAGGGTAAATGAATTAGAAGAACTGAATGTACTTTTCAAATTATATTTCAAGGACAAAAAAGACGAGACCGCTGCACCGCCTTCTGCTGTACCACCTGCTGCTGCAGAGTCTGCTGTGGAACCGGTTGCCAAAAAGCCAGAACCGGCAGTCAAAAAGCCAACGGATTCGTCCACTAAGTCGCTTCCATCGCAGAAGGAAGGTAGCAAAGAACCCGAACCGAAGAAGGAA